AACTTTCTTTTTTTTTTTTTTTCCTTTTTGTCTTTTTCTGGGACCGGCAACGGGATTGCAACCCTCGGTGTTGCTCCCGCGCCTCGCTCAGCCAGTGAGCGGGAACCGGTCTGTATGTGGGATCCGAACCCTCGCGGGAGCGCTGCGGCGCCTCCCAAGCGGCGCACTATAGCAGTGCGCCACTGGGCCGGCCCCTCAGCAACTTTCTTAACCTCTTACATATAACAATGTTACATATAACACTGCTCAAGCCCTTTTTTCTCAAAAGTTCCTCTTCTCTGTGTTGTGATATCCTATTATCTCACCTACCCTTCTGAACATTTAGGCTGATTCAATTGACTTTTTTACATTTCTACTCCCTAAATGAGGGAGGTGGGAGAGGGGAGGGCTTGAGAGATTTTCCAAAGTTTGTCCCTTTCCCCTTTTTCTCTACAAGCTTTGAGTGACTCCATTCACTGCCAGGCTTCAGCTGTTGCCCTCCAAAATATTCCCAAATCCCTCTCCTGGTGTTCAGTTCCTTATTTCCAATGACCTTTGGTTATTTATATCTGTCAGCATCGTGAACTTATTCTAAAACACAAACCATCATCTTCTCTACCTTGAATAAAGCTTCCTCCTTACTTTCCTATTTCTATTAATGATACTATCATATCCTCAACCATGCTAATCAAACTTTGGAGTTATCTTTAACTCATTCTTCCTCCTCCTTGGTTCCCACATCCAAATGGTCAGCAAGTTCTGTTGACGACATATACTTGTTGTTGTTGTTGTTTTTGGTAAATATCTTAGATCTGTCAGTCCTTCCCCTTTCATTCTCCCTACCTTCTACAGTTTAGTTCTTTATTAACTTATATTTGAGTTCTTTCTATAGTCTCCTGTCTAGTTTACCTACCACCGGTTTCATTCCCTTCTTTGATAACCAACACACAAGATCACTCTTTCTAAAATATCATTTGGATCGTGTCACTGTTCTCCTTAATGGCTTCTCACTAATTGCTGAGTAAAGTACAAACTATATATATATATATGTATATATATTTTACTATAATTATTTGTTTACATGACTTTTCCTTACCCTATCTGGACCAAGCTTTATCTATCTGAATAACATGTGCCACAGCACCTAACACAATGCCATATACACTGTAGTTGTTCAATGTATATTTGGTGTTTTATAGATGAATCTTTAGGGAAGTGACTATAACATGTTTACTGCTATATGTAGTGAGAAATATCATTTATATCATGACCTGGTGTAAGTGAAATATTATTCAATTTTATCACAAGCAATTCACTTTGATATTTTCCACTCTATTCTGTTTTGCTTGCTAAAATGGTGGTTGCGATCCATTAAATTGATGTAACAAGAGTCCAAATTGTGAAAAATCTCCTTTAGGGAATTCACAGTGTTCTCTCGGTGCTTTTAAGATAATCCCTTCATGATACTTCATTAGTCTGGGAAAACCATCATACTATGATGGACTACAGTCTGCTCTTGCTAAGCTTAGAGTACTGCTAAATGTGGGCACCGACCTTGCCTTTTCTGTATAAAACCTTGTGCCAGTAGCAGGTGTAGCACTGTGCAAATTTTTTAATATAGCAATAATAATTAGAATCAAAGTATATTGTCAAAAGTATATTATACTTTTGGTCCTAAATTTCATATTCTTCCAAACCCAAAAGTTCTTTGTCAAAGAAACAAAAAGTAGGACTGACTTATATTGACTAAGCAATTCCTACCTAAAAGACAGCATCTCAAGAAATATTAGAAGTCAGACAAAATGAAGAGCAAAAGAAGCTAGGTACAAAAGAGTACATATT